AACAGATATCTTTTCTCCCTGTCTGTATGGCTTTTCAACATTTTTACATGCTCACTCCCAAAATTCTTCATCTAAAGTACCTTCCTCAGGAAACCAAGGATTGTACTTACAAATTACTTCTAAGCAGTCCTTTAATTGCTGTTTAGAAACTCGAGCTCTTCTCATAATAAAAAATGATGCAGAAGTGAAAGAAAAGGCTGGACTCTGCAATGATTTTGCCCCATCTTGTCTCACTCACCTCCTTCTGTGAGGGTCTCCGTGTCACTTTCAAAATTATCCCTCAGGTCCCTGTTTCAGGTGCCAACTGTAAGCCATTTATCTGCTGAACCTGGGTGGAGCCATAAAAAATGAGGGGACTATCGAGTCTTGCTCAATAGCCATTTTAATGAAGCATACTACTGCTTTTATAAACTCCTTTTACACAGAGAGCATTTGGTCAGAAAAAGCATGCCATGTATTACACGTCAAGGTTACATTAATATAAGGAAGCACAGTTAAAATTAATTCTTTGTTATGTCTCTTTTAAAATGGGAACAGAGAAGCAGGAGAAGCACATGGTCAGCATAACTTTCTTATTTACATCTGAAGGACACAAAGCCATCTGGGGAACCTTGAGCACTGTCGTTTTTCTGGATGCCTGGTTCTGAGACCTTTGCCTCAGTTCTTTAGAGCTTTCTCACAAGGCCAGATATCAACTCACACAGGCACAGTCCCACTGCTGGCTCTGACAATCAGGCATTTCATAGACTTCCTCTTTTATTTTTTGACCTGTCTTTCTGACATTTATCCATCAATGATTCTGATATCATTATCTATTTCTCTTAGTCCCTCTTATTTCTGTCTCACTCACTTAAATTTCTCTCTTTTTAAAAATATCTTCTTTTTTGTCTTCATTGCCTGGTTCTCCTCTTCTCTCACATATCTATCCTTCCTTTTGGAAGATTTTTCTTAAAATGTTTTACAAAAGAAATAAATTGTTAGTCTATAAGTCATAGACCAATATCAACTGCTATCTTCATTGCAAGCAGTGTCTTGTGTCATTTCACTCACTCTATGCCACTTGTTTCTCATCCATATCTTGCTATTCACCTTAATTCCATTCTATAAAGGAAAGTGCTCTCACTAAAGATACTATTAATAAAACCCTACTAATTTCCACACTCAGCAATATCTATTCTGTAGAGTATTTATTTTCTCTTTTGTCACTATACTTACTTTGTCATTTTTAGTGTATTTCCTTTGTTCATGTCTATGACACACAGCTTTCTAGTTTCCATGCTGCTTCTTTCTTGAACACACTGCTCAGTATCCTTTTCTTATCACTCATTTGTCACATTTTTGAACATGCAATGCTTTGGACTCAGCTTGGAAATAAGTTTATTAAATGGAATATAAATTGAAGGAATCAGATGAATAAAATGTCAGGGACAGGTAGATGCAAGGCACCCAAGTTCAAAATGCCCAATACATGCTATCACTGGATGTAGGATGAATGTTATTGCTCTTGAACTTCTGATGCCACATTTAATTGCAGGCAGATCAAAGATATAAGTTTTGGTTCCTTCTCCTTTTTGGAGACTCTCTAATTACCTCTCATATTTGGCAAGTGTCCACAGGCATCACTGTTTAAAAGAAAACTACTGTGCTCAAACCCATACCTACTGAAACAGAATCTTCATTTTAACAAGATCCTCAGAGAGTTTACAGGCATTGAAGTTTGGGAAGCAGAGCTCTAAGCTACCTCCCATGAATGTCCATTTTCTTTGTTCTTCTTTGGTCATCCTCCCTGATATCTGCTTAGCAAAATTTCTCATTAGATTTCAGTAGCAACTGGTACACCTAGCTTAGTTGTATGTCTAGAATTTGAGATGCAACTTTTAGATGACAGTGTTACTTGGGATTGTCTACTGAGGAGAATATAGATCTTGTTTTCATTACTTCACACAAATCATTCACAATAATTCACACACAATAATTTTTTAAATTGGAAGGTACATTTTCACTTAAAAAACCAATGCAGCATTCTATGGGAAGAAAAGGAGGAAGTCTTTAATAACATAAAAAAAGGAAAGGATTGTAGCTACAACATTCTTTGAACATAAGCAAGACTGAGAAAGTATGCTGCTATTTGGGAATTGCAATATTTCCAAGTAGCATAACTTAGAGTGGTCATAAATTTTTTAAGTCCTTTGAATTGTTTAGGTCTGGGGTAAACTGGACACTGAATTCTCTTAAGCCTTTCAGGGTGTTAGAAAATTGTTTTATCTAGTGGTTTCAGTTTCTGACATTACATCTTTGGGGCAACAAACAATAAATCCCTAAAGCTCTAAAAGCATTTTTGCTCTTTTTTGACTGGGGGCAGGGCTCAAGTGGTAGGTAGAGTACCTGCTCAGTAAAGTGTAGGTTCTGAGTTCAAAACTTCAATACTGAAGAAAAAAGAAAGAAATTTTATTTTCTCTCTGCATATTCAGCATTCATTTTGTCACCTATGTTATCAAAACAGACAAATTGTCTAGTGTTAAGTTGGTACTAATGACTATAATAATAAAATAAGCATTTAAATATAGAAAGTACTTTTGAAGACTGCTGGTATGCTTCCAAACCCGGGAAAGTTTGTAATTAAATTTAAAATCAGATTTCTCAGATAGAAATTCCATGGAAAACTAAACTTTGAATTTTCGAATAGCAAGAAAGAGTTAATGTCTTTTAATGGACGAAGGGAAAAGATGCATGTTTACCTCCAAGTCTTTAAGTCTTTACTTTTAACTGTATTTTAGCCTTTCTGTGATACTTCCTGCCTCTGAATTATTCTCCTAAATTTACCCATATATGCCCTTTTCATTCTCCTCCTGTTTCACTTAATTTTAGGTTTCTTTTAATAATTCAAATTTTCCTTTCTACTTCTGGTCTCTTTCTCCTCTTACCAACTTGTTCTGTTCTCCTTAATCTGAAAAGCTTTTATTAAAAATTCTTAAGAGAAAATAATTTACATTTACCTATGCCAGTAGATAAATGACAACTGTTCTTCATATTATATGGAGTGCTCAACTTGGGCATTCTGCTTTCCATTTGCTACTTTTTGTTCTTTGACCTTAATACTATACTCAAATTGAAAGTGTGCTCACTGAAGTCATCCAAAATCTCTTACTTTCATAATCAGTGATCTCTGTTCACTCACTGGCCTACTAGAACCTTTGTTTTGCATTTGGCACTGTACTTCATTTTGTTCTCCCTAAATATGTTCAATCACTCAGCTGACTGTTTTTCCTCCTATTTCTCTGCTCACTCTTCTCAGTATTTTTTTCTACTCTCCCTCATGTTTCTGGTTTTTTTTGAGACAGAACTCTTGGTTACAACAAGAAATGATTTTATTGAATTGTTATTGACTCTAACATAGGGAGACTGGAGAATAAACTATAAAAATGGGCAGAAACAAAATGAAGTAAGACCCTGCTCAGAAAACAAACTAAACTCCCAACATTAGTTCAGTGAAGGCTGTTTTTGTCACTGATCTCTATGATGTCACAGCTCAAACCATCAGTTCCACTGTTGAGCTTGGGACACATTTGCTAGACTCTTCATATTCCTGCCTAGGATATAATTACAAAATTCTTATTGCTCCCTGACCGTCGCTACCCCTTTCCAAATTCTACATTTATCATGAGTTTGTTTGATCAAACTTCTAGTAAATACCCTCAAATTTAAGTTCAATATGGTTTGGAATTAGTTTTTAGCTCTAGAGGGCTGTTACTTTATGTCCATCCCCAAGATTTATGTGGTAGAAAAAGGGATCAGTTGATGTACAAGTAATACATATTTTGCAGACAATTTATAATATGTTTTTTTTAATTTGAGCGAAATCTCACTAGGTTGCCCAGGTTGGCTTAACACATGTGGTTCTCCAACCTCAGCCTCCCAAGTGCTAGGAGTATAAGTGTATGACACATGTCCTGTTTATAATTTGTTTAATATGACAGACTCATTCCTCTTTACTTTTAACACACTTCAATGCATAGGATATCTATAACTGTACCTTTCAATATCATGGTAACTTCCATATCATTATCTTCATTAATAATAGGGTTGCAACTCACCTACATTTTCAGAGGATGTTCACTCCACATGTCTGACAATTTAAGAGCTCAATCTCATTTTAATTCACCATGTCACTCTACTATCTCACTTACCTCTCTCTTCACATCTAATATTTCATGGACTTACTGCATCTTTTAAAATTAATTTTTCCCCCACTCATCATTGTTAATTACTTATTGCACATGGACTAGGCACCTTGCACACATGTGAATCACCTGGGCAACATTTTTAAAACACATATTCCTAGGCCTCATTCTAGTCTATTTTTACATTGATCTCTCACACTGTATATTCTTATGATTAAGTCCAATAGAAAATTCTAATAAGTAATTTAGTTTGAGAACCCTGGACAATAGAAAAGATTTCCTGATCAATACTTCTAACTCTAGTTTCCACTCCTTACAGCCTATTTTCTACAAGAAAAATTATTTTAAAAGTGGCTTATAGTCTTCTGTCTCACAAGTTTCAGTTTGCAAATACTTCCTGATAAAGTTTAAGGTCTTTTGTGTGGATTTTTAACTCATTTTAAAGTTCATCCTTTAAGGATACTTTTTCTTTATTCATGTGTCAGAAATAGCATATTTGTAGAATATTCAATGGTGTTCACAAAAATTTGGCATATGCTTAGAATGGCTTGGCTTTTTCCTTAAATCTGTTTACTTTTTAAACATTGAATGAAGTGATACAATTGTATTTTTCTGTCCCTTCAATTTTACCAATAGTTTTAATCAATTTTAGTATGATAATAAATAAAGAGGGCATTCTTGTAAATGTATGGCTTTATTTTAATTCCCCTCAAACGTTTTCAGTTTATAAACACTTAAATAATATGCTTCTTTTTTATTTTCTTTTGTTTTTTGCTTTACATTTAATGTTTTTTCTTTCAGAGGACATCTATTGAGAATATGGAAAAGGAAAATGCAACATTGCTGACAGAGTTTGTCCTCACAGGACTTACACACAAACCAGAGTGGAAAATCCCCCTATTCCTGCTGTTCTTGGTGACATATCTCATCACTATGGCAGGGAACCTTGGTCTTATTGCTGTCATCTGGAATGACCCTCACCTTCACATTCCTATGTACTTACTTCTTGGGAGTTTAGCCTTTGTAGATGTTGGTTATCATCCTCAGTGATGCCAAAAATGCTAATCAACTTGTTAACTATGAGCAAGACAATCTCTCTCTCTGAATGCATGCTGCAATTTTTTTCCTTTGGAACCAGTGCAACCACAGAATGCTTTGTCTTGGCAGTCATGGCTTATGATCGCTATGTAGCCATATGCAAGCCTCTATTTTATCCAGTCATTGTGACCAATAGACTATGTGTACGACTATTGCTTTTGTCATTTGTTGGTGGCTTTCTTCATTCCTTGTTTCATGAAAGTTTTTTATTGAGGTTAACATTCTGTAATTCCAAAATAATTTATCACTTTTATTGTGATATCATACCATTGTTAAAGATTTCCTGTACTGATCCTTCTATTAATTTTCTAATGCTTTTTATTTTTTCTGGTTCAATTCAAGTATTCACCATTTTGACTGTCCTCACGTCTTATTCATTTGTCCTTTTTACAATTTTAAAAAAGAGGTCTATCAAAAGCATAAAGCCTTCTCCACTTGTGGGGCCCATCTCTTATCTGTGTCTTTGTACTATGGGACTCTTCTCTTCATGTATGTGCGCCCTACATCTCCACAAGCAGATGATCAAAATATGATGGACTCTTTGTTTTATACTGTCTTAATTCCTGTGTTAAATCCCATTATTTACAGTCTGAGAAATAAGCAGGTTCTTGATTCATTCACAAAAACATTAAAGAGAAATATTTAGATCTCAGATGAGAAGTTATTTTCTTTTTATCAAGACACAAATTCATTAAGGTTATATTTGAATATTTTGTGATACATGTTGAAACTTTTCCAGTTAAATTGTCCTAGCTTTTTGTTTTCATTTTTGCATTTTCTGGAAAATTTTTTATTTTCTGGTGCAACAGGGATTTGAACTCAGGACCTTGACTCACAATTCCTAGGCAAGAGCGCTATCATTTGAGCCATACTTGAGCCTTCTTTCCTTTAATGCAATTTCCTTTTCCCTTTAGTTTATTTTCAGAACAGATCTTGAACTTTTTCTCACTTTAGCCTTAGACCAGAATCCTCCTTCTTCTATTTCCAAAGTAGCTTGGATTACAGGCATGAGTTACTTTTTGAAATAGTGTCTCACCAACACTTTTTGCCCGGGCTGGCTTTAAATCACAATCCTTGTTCTCTGCTTTTGGAGTAGCTTGTATTATAGCTATATACTACCATAACAAGTCTCTATTTTGGGGAGAATTTTGATATGGGATCTTATTATGTAACACAGGCTGGCCTTGAACTGGCTAGGTAGTATAGGCTGGCTTTGAATTTGTGATTCCCATGTGCTGGGATATAGGATATACCAACCATATCTAACTAGGGCTGAAACTTTGTATTCATGTGCAGGCATTGCAGAGATTGGCTATAGGAGGATAATTGTGCACTGGTCCTCACCATGATTTCAGAAGGAGTTCACATTCTCATGCAAACATTCTTTCCTTGAGGAATGGATGATCAGTTTATCCCAGGAACTGCTACATGCTTTCTTTTGGTGTCATGATCCTAGACTTGTAATAAGGATTTGTTGCTCCTTTTGACTCAGAGCATTAGAAGAGTTTTCATCTTCTGATTCTGCTTATTCTCCTTCTTCCTTTCTGCATCTTAAAATTGTGGCTTCTGTGAAATGGTTGTTCTGGGTAATAGAAAACCTGATCACATCCTATCTGGAAGTTCTTCTGACTCACCTCAGTGCTCCACATGGCTTGCATTTCATTTTAAAAATAAATTATTAGTAACTAGCAAAGTCCATTAGATATTTCTACATGTCATTTATAAACTTATAAAGAAATTTAGTCAACTGTTCATGGAATACTATGGCAAAGTAGAAAGCAAACAAAAACATTTTTCAGGTTTCTGTGTTCTTCACTGCATTTTATAAATGCAGTAAGTGCTAAAATGGTATAGATCCTTTGGTCAGGAGTTTGATATGATGTCTTTGATACTAACCCTGCTTTGATTGGCTTGTGGAATTTTTAGTCCATAGTGGTAGTGGGCTCATGTGGTTGAACACAGGCAAATTCATGAATTCAGCTATCCACCAAAAAGTCCTTTATTCCACTTCATTTTGGAGAATAACAAATTCTCATCTTGTAGATATTCAGCTCACATATCATATAGAAAAATGAACAGAAATGGGGAAGAGGAATAAATGGAAAGGAAATTAAAAAGCTGAAGGCAGGGACAAACTAACAGTGGAAGCTCTTCCTCAGTGTATTCCTGTGAAAAAGGAAAAGTCATTTGTCTTTCCCTGAATATGATGCTTTCTAAAGATCTTTTGACCCATGTTTCTATGGTCTTGGCATTCTGAAAACCCTAACTAATTCAGAAGACTGACACAGTAAAATGAAGAATTAAGTTGGTATTGGTGTAGAGAAAGAAAAGAAGTTGCAAAATAGGAAGGAAACTTTCTTAATCTTCCAAGAATTAAAAGAAAAACAAACTATGAAGTTAAAGAAAGTGATATTTAAATATATAGAAATGCACAAGTATGTCTTTTACAATGGGAAACTTCATACACCTATTATAAAATTCCAAATTTATTTCTTTTGAAGTTGTGTCTCAAATATTCCTACTGCCATGAAGCATTTCTGGATAATCTCAAAGAGGATAAGAAAGCTAAATCGTTCAATGTATTTGCAGTTTCTTTATTCCTCTTAGCCAAATTTTCCTTGTATACTATTTGTTTTTTACCTAAAGTATCTTGTAAATTGCAACTCAAGGTCTTATTACTCTTTTTGTCTTTTGGAGTATGTGGAGAGTGGCTTCCATACATGAAATCATAATTAAATATTTCAGAAATATTAATGAAATTGAATTGGTAATTATGGCATCAATTCTAAGCATATGATAAGAGTGTGTCACTTTTTTCAGTGATTAAAAGAACCCAGGAATGTTACTAACACTGAGATACCTGCTGCATGACAATTTACCTTATGTTTCATACTTAAATGAAAGTATCATTAACCCTATGTGATATATTGTGTATCTTCTTGTCAATACTATTGTTTTCTGGAGAGACAATGGAAAAAAACTGTTTGATAATAACAACTAAAAGATACAAAGCTTATAATTAAAATAAGACTGTTTATTTTGTATATCCAGAGATCTTTTCTTTCACAAAACTAGACCACTTTGTCTTCTTTTTGTTTTTCTGAGGACTACCCTCAAAGCTCCAGGAAATAGTTAGTGGAAAATAGCCAAATGATTTTTCCTGTTTCTTTAAGAGGAGACAAGTTAGTGCATATGTCTGATGTTTGATGATTTTTATTTCTGAATAATGCTTCCATTGTACTGAGAATTTCCCGTCATAACATAGATTTTTCCAAGTTTCATCATTTTATGACCCAAACATTTTATTGGTAAAAAAGCAATTACTGTATATTTCTTAGACCATTTTAAAGGTCTAATTCCCTAACTGACCTTTCCTTTCAATGAGTTAGTAGACATCAAGCTACGGATTGTAGGCAAGGTATGTAACTGTGTATGTTTTATTTTTATTTAGATAATTATGGAACAGGTAATTTGATCTTTGGGTAAATAGATTTTAATTACAGTCTTCCCTTATACACACTATTAATTTACAAATTCCTTAAGTCGGTTTTATCCCAGTACTTTACACCTTCCTGAAATTTACCAAAATATCTAGCTCATGAATATAATCTCATTCTCACTTCTGTTATAGATTTTTAAACCAATGAGTTATTTGAAAGGATATTAAAATGTACACTTTGCCAAAATCCATGTTTTTCATGACTTTCTTCATATTAATTTAAAATGAAACTATGAAGTAGGTGTGTAATATTTGATGTATATTTAATTGTAAAAGATATTGCAAAAGTTGATCAAAGATGTATTTGGAACACTGTTCATGTTGGTTTGAATCTAACCAATGGAAATAATAGACACATAGTAGACATTTATTATGAAGGTGAAATCATTTCTTAATATAAAAATTTAAAATATTCATAGTTCTACTCTCTTTACATACAAATACACAAACTTGCCTCAAGATTTTATAATTTCTTCTGTTCTGGAGATTGTTTATTAAATTACCCCTGTAATCAAATACAAAACTACAGCATTATTTAAAGAGATAGAATGTGCTTTTCACAACTTTCTTGGGAAACATTACTGACTGTGACAATAGTAACTCAGTTTCCTTTTTTCAGTAAAGTTAATTTGGAGGAAACTCTATCTTTGAAAAATATCTCTTGACAATTTGGATGTTCCAGCTTTTGGAACATTATGTTCAAATAAGTTTCCTATAGACAAATTTGCTGCAAAAATATGAGAAGAAATATATATATATGCATGTGTATAATCATATATATGTCTATACAGATATATATGTCTACATCTCTGTCTATCCATCTATCCATCTATCCATCCTTCTACCCATGTGTCTATCTACTTATATACAAATCTATCTAGATGAAATATTATGGAAATTGAGAAGTTCCACCATCTGCAGTCTATAAACTGCAGACCTGGGAACATGCATGCTGTGGATGTGTGACACTTGTAGAGCCAATGGTGTAGATTCTAGTCCATGTCCAAAATATTAAGAGCAAGGAATGCTGAGGGAAAAAGAAGATAAGTGGTAAAGCTAAACAGTCAAGCAGGAAAGCAGGATAAATTTAACTTTTCTTCACCTGTCCTTCTCACCCCCATTCTGACTCTCAACAGATAGAAAAGATGCCTACTCACATTAAGGATAGCCATCTTCTTCACTCATTCCACCAATTCAAATGGTAATCTCTTCCGAATACATTCTCACAGATTCACTCAGAAATATTGTTTAACAGGATATTGCTAGATCCTGTGGCCTATTGAAACACATATGAAATTAGTCTTCAAAGTCCACTCTTTGTTAACTTGGCACCCATACAAATTATCTTATATCAAATTTAATACTTACATAATGACAGCAATAAAAGGTCTAAGAGCAATTCAGATTACTATAATAAAAATTAACATAAACTGGGTTTCTGATCCATAACAAACATTTATTTCTCACAGTTCTGAGTGATGAGTAGCTCAAGATCAAGCCCCCAAGAGATCCAGTTTCTGGTAAGCATCTACTGTCTCATAAATGGGTTTCCTATTATGCCTTCAGAAATGAATGAGGCAAATAAGACTTTTTCTATTATACAAGCAAACTAATCTTAATCATGAGGCCTCTTCATTCATGATCTAATCCCCTCTCATAACCTCCAGTTCCTAATGTCATTTACAATTTCAACATGCGAAGTTTAGCTGGACATAAATATTCAGACCACAACATTCAGTCCAAGGTCCTCTAAATTTTATGCTTTTTTCATAAGAAATCTTCATTTCATTCCATCCTTATAGTCCCATTGTTTTAACTCATTCCAGCATTAATTTAAATGTATAAGCATAAGTCCCATCTAAATGTCATATAGACCAGATATCGGAGAGACTTGAAGTATTATTTTTTTCTGAGGCAAATGCTCTCAACCTGTGAATCTGAAATAAAAAATTATATGTTCTCCCAAATTACAAAAGGCAAAAGAGAAGTATTCTCATTTCAAAAAGAATTAAGAAAGAAGGAAGAAGTAATATCTAAAGAAGATCTGAATCCCAACAGAGTAAAAGATTATATTTTAAAGCTTAAAATAACAAGACTAGAGCAGAAATAAATAAAATAAAGACCAAAATAATACAAAAAATTACTAA